CTGTATCCGACAACCAACAGGTGTTTTTCCAACGACTATATTTTTCTTTGTGTGAAACACGAAGTAACACATTATTATTTACTCTGTGTGGAATGACAGTAATAGCGAAAAAAGAAATTGCTCGTTGTGCTTTACCGAAAAAGAAAGTAACGAGAAATGAATGATTATCATAGAAACGAAACTAGTAAATTAAATTGACGAAACTCTTACATTCCAATCAAGACATATCAATTTGAAAGACATATATTTAAAAAAAAGTATGTTTATTAGGTTTAAATAATTACACCTAATTTAGATCCATTTAATTAATCAGGATATACTATTTGTCAAAAAGTCACAATCACAATAGAGAATTCAATAAGATGAAGAATGTTTGTTAATTATACTATAACCATATTTAGTATTTTAATAATTTTTATGGTGTCGGATCAATTGTATCCAGCAGCTTTAAAAGACTATCCATATATCTGAACAATATGTGTATGGACGAAATCATTATCATATTTTATCAGACTTGAGAGCAATTCTTTCCATTGTACCCCAATATAGCATAATCAAGAAGACATGGATTACAGAAAGAAAGAAGAGAGGCTGACAACTAGAAATGACGAAGGACAAGTACTCATCAATTTCTTGCTTCCTCGTGTAAACTTGGACAATTATATTGGTGGTCTTGCAATGGAGCAGGCACTAAAGGCCTAATAGTAGATGGAAAAACAACATCATCTCATTGTTCTGTCATAACACGGGTAACCTTAGACTAACACCTAGTTTCGCCTGATATCATTAGTTTCATTAGTCACAATATATACAGTTGTTGGTCAAAAAGTCATTTTCAATATAGAATTCAACAATGCCAGTTAACCATATTTGTAGAATCCTTTTATTTTTCTTTTGTTGCTCAATTGTATCCACGTATTAGAGATGTAATGGGAGCAGCTATCCATCTGAACAATCAAGATTAAATATCATCTATGATTAAGTAGCGAAAACTTCTGGATATGCATTTACATTAAAAATGAATGTTCTTGAAACAATTAGATATTTTCCGGTCCTAATTGAAGAAAACTAAAGCTAGTTGTGCAAGTAGAAGCAATATGACATGATACAAAACAAAACAAAATAACTCATACAAGAATTCCTTTGAATGGGTCCATAAGCAGCTAATATAACAAAAAAAGTTTACACCATATAAAATGCAACAGAAACTGGCTGAATAATGTTGCAATATCAGGTAGCCTCTGCTGTGAAAGATATTGATGCAAGAGGAAAATACAGACAGAATTTCAGTGCCATAATACTAAAGATTCTCCAGAGTAGGAAGATGGTTTTAATTAAGATTACAAGCTAACCATGTCCAATTAATCAGACGACTCGGGCAGCTCATCAATTTAACCAGATCTACCAATCCAACGTTTAAACGCAGTTCCTTTCAAAACACCATTTGAGTCTAACTTGGCCCTTACAATTGTGGGATCAGCAGGTCCTGGCAAGGTGAAATTGATGGTGAAGTGACCTAGAGGAAATATCCGTCGAGTTCTTCTGTTGCATACAGTTGGTGCCGTACTGCTTGTTCTTTCCCCAGCTCTTACTATCCCTTCTACCTTGACATTCCCATTAGGAAGAACAACAACTGACAAATTGCCTGCAATACAACTGTCCACTTGGTCATTTCTCTTAAATAATAATATTTTCAGCATTATGAGTATCGGTTTTCTAATGCTTAAAACTTCTTCGAGTATAGATTTTTGGATAATACAACCTTTGTACTATTCGTAGTTGATATACAATAAACCCTTGAAGCGGATAAGCCAATTGTGGGGAAGGCTAGACTTAATAAGCCATAACTTCCAAGAAAGATTTCCTATCAAGGGAATCCGAACCAACTCTCTGGTTCCAGATCAGCCGTTCATTCAACACTGCTACAACCGGAGCACATACCTGTTGAATGGCAGGAGGGTTTTTCTAATTATGTTTTTAACCTAGTTTTACAGGGAAGCACATGCAGATTTTCCCAAAAAGCAAAACTGTTGAGATAATTTCATATTCTAACTTCTTTCTAGCTGTCTTTGCTGGTTTAAGTTCCAACTGATTCAAAAGTTTAATGTTGTTAGTGGCACTACTTTTAAGAGTCTTTTATGTTTCCAGTTAACGGAGTCCTAATTAGTTGATGTTAGTTAGTTAGCAGGTCATGGGTTAGTGCTAAACTAGTGCCCTATTTTTTCTCTAAGTTTGTTTCTTTCCAAGTTCTATTTAAAGACTTGTAATGTTGTCTTCTCAAGTAATAGAAAAAGATCAAGTTTCTCTCTGTTAACATCTTATTCGAACAATATGCATTGAATGATGGATAGAGATTATTACGAGTAAATTTTTCAATGTGTTATATAGAGAAGGAAACAAACTAACCAAGGTTTCTTGCAACAGCCGGTAGGACAACCTCAAACTTGTATGAAATTGCAGTTATAGTGATAGTCACTGTATCATTAGAATCTCCTTCTCTCCCCTCTCGGGCTGCTCCAGTCCGTATGACATGTGCGTTGAATGTAAATGGATATGCGATAATCATATTCAAGTTTCCAGTGTTTCTTTCGAAATTTATTCCTGCAGATTGTAAAACTATAGTGTATTAAGACCTTGAACAATATGCATTGTTTGAATACTGGAAGAAGGAAGGAACTCAATAGGCAACTTAATATATGTACGATGTCGGTAAAACTAGAAGATTGGCTCATCGCACTACAAGTCACAGCGGCTGGATAACATTAATATACACGATATCTTAGGCATGCTATGAGTTAACATGCCAGTTCGAAGAATGGGGATTTAGCACAAAATTTTAAAGCACAGAAGTAAATGCCTTTTTTGCACACCTTGCTCTGCAGAAATGGCAAAGCACAAATCTTTGTAAAGGAGTAAATCAGTATTTTGGAACTCACAGAGGGTTCTACTGAGCAAAAGAAGATAAAAAAAGAACTAGGGATTTGGGAATCCAGTGAGGTTTTCAGTGAAACTCTCTACATGTAAATGGTTGAATCAGATCTATGTCAAGAGTAGTCTTGTTTGTTTCTCAAGTTAGCAGCATTCATGCACTGTTGTCGAAAGTAGAACAGACATTAGTAATTCAGTTTACTAATCAGCACTTCATACGTTTCAAAGAGGATTTACATAATTAAGAATCATAATCTCATGCTTAATGTCTATAATTTAATGCTGAACTATGGTTTCTGTCTAATAACAACAACATTGCCTAGCCTTCTATATGATTCTGAATGTTGAACTGTTGTTTAGATCTTTCAAAAGCATAAATCTAGAAGATGTCATATTTCAAATAATGCCTACTTAAAGCAGCAAATAGACACATTAAATGGTGCTTCCAAAGATATAGATCCAAGATCAAAGTGGAAGAAACAAGTGATCCAGCTTTAATATATCTTTTGTTCCGCTTATACTCCTAATTTTAGACAAAGCTCATGTAATTTCATCACCCTATGCATTTTCCGGTCTGAATTCCGCTTTATACTAGTTCCCTCTCCACCAACTAGACATGTTAGACAAGAAACCTTAGATCATCTACGTGGCATCATATAGCAACTGAACAAGCCAAAAATGAGTTGAAATACAAATCCTAAAAAATGCCACAACTTACCATGGCTCCTCCTAGTGCTAAGAGATGAAAGCAAAGAAACAGATCATAGGATAAGAAAGCCATAAAGCAAAAACTTTAAATAAAGAAGAACACAAATGCTTTTCATTGGTCAATCGCCAGAAACAAAAAAAATCAGCTTCTTCATCATGGCTAAGATGTAAGGAACATTACCTGATATCTAAAAGAATGAACCCTAGACCAAAATCTTTTCCAAAGTGTATCAAATGTCAAATAACAAGCGGAAAAAAATGAATTGAAAATCAAATCCTAAAATCTCCAAAAGTTAGCAAAGAAATAGTTCAAAATAGAATTGTATACCTTGCTCGGCAGAAACGGCAAAGCACAAATCTTAGTAAAGGAATGAATCAATTTATTGGAATTTTCAGAGGGTTATATTGACCAAAAGAAGCTAAAATGAATTAGGGATTACGAGAATCCAGTCAAGATTCAGTGAAATCTCTTTTACAAGGAATTGGTTGACTCATATTTGAGTCATGAGTAGTCTTGTTTATTCCTCAAGTTAGCAGCATTCATGCACTATTATCGAAAGTACAACAAACATTAATACTTCAACATACTAATCAGCACTTATCGTACGTTTCAAAGAGGATTTACTTACTATAGAATTGTAATCTCATGCTTAAGGTCTATAATTTACCCCCTTAGTATAACAGACCAAAACAGTTGATCAGATAAATGCTAAGAAAGCAAAAAAGAGAAAACTCAAATTCAAAGGCAAGTGAGAATGAAGCACAAGGTAGAGTAAAGCAACTTAGTGAATTGAAGGAAAAAAAGAGCAGAACATACCTAGTAGAATTCACACAAAGAAGAGTGTCAAGTCAGCGTGCCCTTACTCTTATAGCAGCTGAGTAGAACATACCTAGTAGAATTCACACAAAGAAGAGTGTCGAGTGAGTGTGCTCTTACCCTTACAGCAGCTGATGAGGGCATGTGAAAGCAGGTGTTCCAGCTAGGACTGACATTACAAATCAACCTTGAGATGAAAACACACATCTCTGCTTCCCTTTGACTGTTTGAATCTGTCATGTATCTTTCTTTGCACATGACATAAAAATACAAAATGCCAATACTACTTTTCTAGGTAAAACAAAATCTAGTAGGACTCCTCAAATTCATTTTTGCATTTCTCCATACAGCAAATCCATTTCTACTTCTCATTTATTTTCTTCTAACAACATCCTGAAGAAGATAGCCTCTTCAGAATCAATCAAGAAGCAAACTTGAACTATATAAAATGCTCTTTTAGGTATTTTTTTCTTCAGAAAGTTAGGTTCCAATTATGAAAAAAAGATCATCATAAGTGGGTTATTTCTTCATTTGGACCAAGATGAAATAGGGAACAATTTAAACTGTACTTGCTCTATTTACATGTCAAAACATGTCATCGTCTGAACCATACATAATCTACAAGTTTAGTAAACACAGCAAATTAGCCATCAGCCCACCACTAATCATAACAAGAAATCCAAGAGCAGACAGCTTTCTGTGGTGGGTTCTGTCTTAAATGGTTGTTTACATGAACTACCAGCTACTGTTCGTATTTCATTACAACAGCTTCAAAAATGCCATCTGATCTGAAATTTGGTGAAAACAACCTCGGATCGACAGGCCCGGGCAAACTAAAGGAGACGGTGAAAGCACCAGATGGACATTGTTGCTGAATTTTCATATCAAAGACCCGAGAATATCTTGAGACGGTTCTCCCACCAGTTGATGTCACCCCCCGAATAAGGACCTTTCCATCTTTTTCAATCTCACAGTTGAACTCACCTGCAACAAGGAGTTAAAGTGTTCATAATCAGGGAAGTTTGTGAAACTATTTGCACCAATAGATACAGTCTATAGTAAAATCAGAAAACAGGATCAGTCAATAATTGCCCATATATTTCTTTCTCAAATAGACATCACGAGGTAGCATTACAAACTTAACATAGGAATATGGTTGTTAGATTAATCTTTTTGTTTATAATGGACTACATCCATGAATCAATCCTAGCTGAGTCTGCATTAGGAAAATGAACAAGTTACACATAGCAATTCCCATCTATTAGTTTTAATTTCTGTCAAAATGGTATCCTATCATAAGTGAAAACATTAAATGCACAACATTAAATTCATAGCAGACTCATCCGCATCCCATAACTGCAATCAGAGACATGCAGTATAATGAACTTCCCAATTCAAGCCATATTCCTCATATTCAGCATGCTTCCAACACTATATATTGTGACTGGATGTGGATTTCATTGCATGCAATATGATAAGTTCCTCGGCTGATGGTCAGTGGTAGAAAAAGATCAGCAACATAGATGTTATGTGATACTTCCATGAATATCTGTGGCACCATTGACTCACAAGGCCTTATTCATATAATAGAGTAAATCAGTCAAAGGGCAACCATATGCGATTGGTCAAAAGCACAAGCTTCATGAACTACTCTTGCTTTAGGTCCTTCTGCAGTTACAGCTTGGTAGTATCAGTTCTGTAATATCTGATTCACATAGAATAATTACCAAGATCTCGGCTGACTAAGACCTTAAAGCAGATTAGCACATTCAAACAGATTACAGAAACGCAACAAGTAAAAGGTAAAGTAACAAACCAGGATCTTTCTTGACTCCAGGTAGAGCAATACGAAAATAGTAAGCAGATATGCTAACACCAATATCAACAACTCCAACAGGTGGTCCAGTTACTCCTTTGCATGCCGTTCCAGTCAAGATAGCAGGGGTCCCCGAGATACATTCTTCCAAGTTGGGAAGAGGGAGAAGTGACATCATGCAAGGCCTATCTACACCACTGGTCATTGTATCAGAATGGGGCCTCTTTTTCACACTGTCTTCCATCTTCATCAATGATGTACCATTTTCAGCAGAGTCTTCCCCATTCGATTTCTCCTTGGACTGCTTCCAAATTATTCTCTTAACCTTCTTTTCAGGATGTAAGCATTCCATGTTTGACATTTACTGACTTTCCATGTTCACCATGTCTTTCATCAGAAACATACTGTAAGCATTCAACAGTTATCCAACTTCCAAACTAATTCTGCCATCAAAAGAAGCAAGAAGAACTCAGGTAGGAAAAAGGTCAAAAAGAACAACTACCATAAAAGGTTGAAACTGGAAAAAAGAAAGAACCCTAGGGCATGAAAAGAATTCAGAGAAATACTGTAATATGCAAGTTATACTACTTCATATAATCTATAAGCAAGTTTATTACAGAATGTGCAAATACCTAGGAGAAGTGCTTTTAGTAGCTATATGCTATGGTAATACCCAGTGTCAAGAGGCCGAAAAATAAAGAAAAGAGAGATGAAGTGAGTTTAGTGACACGTTTAGCAGGAACTGACCCTGAACATAAGCAAGCTACTTAGTGTAAAGCATTAACCGAACCTCCAGGATCAACAGATGTTCTATAAGCTACCAAACCACTGAGCATAAGCAAGCTACTAAATGTAAAGCATTAACCAAATCTCCAGGATCAACGGATTTTCTATAAGCCATTAATCGCTGGTTTATAACATGTCACCAGCACATTTGTAGAGGAGGGATTCAAATAGAAGAAACTAACTCCCAGGCTGGTATCAACCTTACTAGCAGTTGAAAACATAAATTAGAAAAAAATTGGAGAATTAAGTTAGTTCATGACATCATAATAGGCATCTACATTTACTGGCACTAACACAATAGGGAAATCAGTTATTTGTTCAATCCACATGCCTAGCCTGTGTGGGACAAAAACTACTTAGGTTTAAAAAAGGTCTAGTGTGCCATGGAGAATCGTATTTTCTGGTTACATCATTCAATTGTAACGTTAACAAAATCAGCCTTGGTCGACTATCTATTACTGCAAGCATGAGCCACTTCTGGAAGCAATGTTCAAATCTCCCTATCATCAGCCAACTTCTCAAAGGCATCCAAAGGACCACGTTCAGCTAAAGAAATGAAATGCATTAATATGTTTAACCAACATATTTTACTTAGTAAAAATTTAAGCACAAAAGTAGAAAAGAAAAAAACTTCTCGTTCATTGTTCACATCAAATCAGGTAGTACTATTAGTTAGTTCTAATTCTTCCAAACAAGTGTTGGTTATGACATGCTATTTCCTTTACTTGATTTCTAGCATAATTAATTTGGTTCATAATGATCAACTGCAAATTTCATCCTAAGGTCAGCAACTGAATGATGAAAGGAGGAACACATTCAACTACTTTAGTTTCTCTCCTTTTCCTTTTCCGAACGAAGCAACGAGATTAGCTAGAATAGCACATCCTAAACAAATTTCAAGGTATGAAACAACAAATGCAAACTTATCCTAGATAAAACTAAAGAAAGTTTATGCTTCCAACAAAGATCAATTGTGATTCTTGGAGCTTTATGTCAACCTGGCTATTCAGAAAAGCTTCATTTTTTCAAATAAGTTCAACTTGATAATTGAACTCTATATCTTTTCTTGAGAATGTTAATACGAGAAAGAACATAAATTGCATCCAATCAGTTAAAACAGAATTCAACTCAGTAACTTAACTACACACAAACAAAATTGCACAATACTGAATCAGTTTACAGAAAATCTAAAACATAGAGAAGAAGAAAACAAAGTTACACTAGAAACCTAAGCAAAACAGTAAGAGATTAACCCTATTCATTCAACACCGAGCAGAAAAGCTTTACACTTTATCTTGCAACAGCCATGTTTCATGCAATAACCTAAACCCATACACAAAATACAAAAGCAGAGAAAATGGACCAACCAAGAATCAAACTCCTCTTCACTCTTCAGAGAAAATTGCATTGACTTTTTCTTGATCTTTGATGTTCTTTAATGGAGGAGGTGAAAGATGATGTTACATTATGGGAGTACGTGTCAATTTTTAGAGAAACAGACTCGCAATTTTTTATTTTTTAAAAAAAGGCCCCGGACCCATAAACTATTTTTTAAATAATAAAATAAAAATCAAGTCTTTGCAACTAATAAAGCGAGAGGAATAAAAAGCAAAAAACCGTAGATCCAGGTAATGGCTTCTGGTTTCCCGATGGTCTCTCCGGCCACCTGAGGTTCTGGTCACTGCTTTCTACCTTCTATCTTGTCACTTGTGTGTGGAATTCTTGGTTTTGGTTTTTTGTTATGTTTCTTTTGCCTCTTTTCTTCTCACTGCCGGTCCTCTTCCTCAGCTCCATTTGTTCATTTTTGGTTCTGTTTCAGAGTCTCCTGATGTATGTGTTTTTGTTGCTTTTGATGCCCAAGTGTGCTCTTTTTTGCCTCTCTTACTTGACACTAGCTTCTAGGTGCTGTCTTGCTGCAAGTCCATTTATGTGCTGCTTTCGATTGATTCTCGACCTTGTCTTGCTGAAATTTCTTTAATATACTGACTAAGGTTTGGGATTTTACTGATTTCCATCGATTGTAGAGCAATAGAATGAGCATCCTAATACCACACACTGTTCCACCCTCGATACTGAATTGAGCTGGGTTACCTGTTTTTGCGCATGCCTCCTTTTTGGCCGCTCTATGTTTATTTGTTTGTATCTTCCTTTAGCATTGTTGTGCTTGTTCTGATTCTGTTTTTGTGTTTCATCCTGTGTGTTCTCCGTTTATGATATGCCAAGCTGTTGATGTTAAAAAATTCCTCATAGTTCTCCTCTCTTATGATTTGAGGATGAGATCATGAGAATACTTTTTATTAAATTGAGCACTCGAACTAAGTCAGACACTTGAACTAAGTCATGTTTCAATTGAGCACCTCAACTCCTAATAAAGTGTTTCAATTAGAAACTTTTGGTTCAAATTTCTGAAAAAAAATATTTTCATTAGTCTATTAGAGGTGAAAGGCTAAATTGTACTAGAAGATCCAGAACTATGCAGTGTTTCTCCAATACCATTTTGGACCTTGAACTGATTGATCCTCCCCTCCAAGGAGCATAACTTGTTGCCTTTCTGTTATCTGTTTGAACGTGCTACTCTGCTTATGTTCTTAGGCAGCGGAGATCCTGGAAATTAGTTTATGTGAATCAGATACTAAAACTGATACCACAACTTTCTAACTGTTGAAGGACCTAAAGCAAGAGTAGTTCATGAAGCTTGTGCTTTGACCAACCCACTTGGTAGCTGTACGACTGATTTTCCTCTATTATTAGAATAAGTCCTTGTAAGTCTATTGTGCCACAGATATTCGTGGCAGTAGCGGCATAACATCTTATGCTGCTGAACTTTTTCTGCCACTGATCATCAGCAATGGAATACACATATGGTTTCATGTAAAAGTTCATGTTAAAATGAGGAAAATATTGAGTTGGAAGCATGCCGAATACGAGGAATATAGCTTGAATAGGGAAGTTCATTATGCTGCATGTCTCTGATTGCAGCTATGTGATGCGGATGAGTCTGCTATGAATTTAATGTTGTGCATTTAATGTTTTCACTGACAACAGTTGCTTCACTGTTGATAGGATACTATTTCGACAGAAATTAAAACTAGTAGATGGGAATTGCTCTGTGTAACTTGTTCATTTTCCTGATGCACACTCAACTAGGATTGTTTCATGGATGGAGTCCATTATAGACAAAAGGATTAATCCAACAACCATGTTCCTGTATTAAGTTTGTAATGCTACCTCGTGATGTCTATTTGAGAAAGAAATATTTGGGCAATTATTAGGTGGAGATGCTTCTGAATTTACTCTCTCAATGTTGGCCTTGCTACGACTCTTATTTAGTTCTTTTTTCGATGTCTAGAAACCACGAAAACATCGTAGAAGAAATTGTTATCCTGATAATATTCTTGTATGTCAGACTTCTCTGCCTAACACTCAGAAAATGAGATTGGCTGATGCCCTCTTAGATCTTGCTCTCCGTACTAACTGAGCCTATTTTCTGATTTTACTACAGAAGTGTATCCATTGGTGCAAACACTTTCACAAACTTCTCTGATTATGGTGGTATCTTATCATATTTATTAAGTGAACTCCTTAACCCTTGTTGCAGGTGAGTTCAACTGTGAGATTGAAAAAGATGGAAAGGTCCTGATTCGAGGGGTGACATCAACTGGTGGAAGAACCATTTCAAGATATTCTCGGGTCTTTGATATGAAAATCCAGCAACAATGTCCATGAGGAGCTTTCGCTGTCTCCTTTAGTTTGGCCCGGGCCTACCGATCCAAGGTTGTTTTCACCAAATTTCAGATCTGAGGGCATTTTTTAGGCTGTTGTGGTGAAGTACGAGCCGGTAGGTCATCTGAACAACCATTTAAGCCAGACCCACCACAGAAAGCTCTTCTCAGTGGAGCCAATGTGCTGTGTGTACTAAACTTGTAGATAATGTTTTACCATGTAAATAGAGACAATTACAGTTCAAATGACTCCCTATTTTGTTTTGGATCACCAAAATAGCACTGAAAACTGAGGATAGTCAAGACAGGAAGTTGGAACCTAGTTTTCTGAAATCCACTTGCTAAGATTTTGTTTTTAATGAAATCTACTTGAGCTTTGTCTTAAAATTAGGGTAGTGAAAATTGTGCTTAAATGGTGTTGAAACTGTGCTTAAATGGTGCTGAAATTGTGTTGAAAGGGTGCTGAAAATGAACTAATTTATAGCTGCATTAGCTGCTGAAAAACAGCCAAAATGCACTTATTTCGCACGCAATTGCTGCTGCATTATGTGCTGAAATGCAGTCAATATAGCACTGAAATGATTTTGTTTTGGATCACCAATATAGCACTGAAAACTGAGGATAGTAAAGACAGGAAGTTGGAACCTAGTTTTCTGGGTTTTTTCTTTTTGTCATGATAGGAACCTATTGTCCTGAAATCCACTTGCTAAATTGGAACCTAGTTTCTGAAGATAAGCGAAAAGGCATATTGTCCAAAATTGCTTCTTGTTTTGTTCTGCGAAAGCTGTCTTCTTCAGAATGCTGTTAGAAGAAAATAAATGAAAAGAAAAATTACACATGGACACTTCCAGCGGTATGTATAACATGAAAAGGTTGAAACTTGAAACTCAGTAAGGTTCTTTTCTTTGGAAGTTATTATCCCATAATTTTCCATTTTTCTCTTAAAATTTATGTTGCTCGGATCTAACACTTTTTGCTTTGTTATCACTTATCTGATACAGTTTGCAAAGGATTTTGGTCTAGAGTTCATTCTTTTATATATCAGGTAGATTTCCTTACATTTTAGCCTTGATAAAGAAGCTGATTTTTTGTCTCTGGCGGATTGACCAATGAAGAGCATTTGTGTTCTTCTTTGCTTTAATTTTTTGCTTTATGGCTTTCTTATCCTATAATCTGTTTCTTGTGCTGAAAGGGTGCTGAAAATGAACTAATTTATAGCTGCTGAAAAAACGGCCGAAATGCACCTATTTCGCACGCAATTGCTGCTGCATTATGTGCTGAAATGCAGCCAATATAGCACTGAAAACTGAGGATAGTAGAGACAGGAAGTTGGAACTTAGTTTTCTGGTTTTTTTTTTGTTATGATAGGAACCTATTGTCCTGAAATCCACTTGCTAAATTGGTCCAAATGAAGACATAATACACTTACAATGATTTTTTCCCCATGATTGGAACCTAATTTTCTGAAGAAAAAAATATATTTAAAAGAGCGTTTCATATGGTCCAAGATTGGTTGTTGATTTATTCTGAGGAGGCTGTCTTCTACAGGATGTTGTTGGAAGAAAATAAACGAAAAGTAGAAATGGATTAGTTGTGTGAAGAAATGGAAAAAAATATTTAACGAGTCCCACTAGTTTTTGGCTTACCTAGAAAAATAGTAGAGAAAATGGTCTAAAACCCCCCAACCTATGCCCGAAATCTCAACTACATACTCCAACTTCACGGGTGTCCTATCTCCCCCTGGACATTTTATTTGTCTATTTACTACACACTTGAGTGCTGCCCTGTCCACATAAACCAAATAAATTGTCTCATGTGTTTGCACGCGCGGGTCCCCACCCACTTCAACCCCCAATTCTTGTTTTTTCTCCATTTCCCTCCTAAAAACGTTAGAAATCTCAAAGAGAAGCTTTTCATCTCGTTTTCTCCATTTGAATCGAAGCATTTCTGGTGATGATCGAAGCATTTTTGTGTGTATTTTCAACTTGATTACGTAGTGTATCAACTGATGTAGTAAAGGTTAGTTCTTTGTCCCTTATTTCGAGTTTGTGCTTTATTAGGTTTCTGTTAATTTGTGAAATTAAGAGCAACATTGTGTGAAATATTATGTCTGATTCATCCATACAAAGCATATTCAAGTTTTCATTTGCCATTTTTAACGAATTTCGAGAAAATTCAAAATTCAAATTAGAGACCCTAAATAAGAAATTAGAGCAGATTACAAATCCTAACTTCAAGATTTAAAGTAGAAATGAACATAAACAACTAAAACCTAGAGGAGGTGTTCTCACCTCCTATGACAGGTCAGCACTCAAGTGTGTAGTAATAATATGTTAGGGGGGGTGATAGGACACCCGTAAAGTTGGAGTGTGTAGTTGGGATTTGGGGTATAGGTTGGAGGGTTTTAGACCATTTTCTCAAAATAGTATTGGCATTTAGTAGTTTGATGTCATGTCCAAAGAGAGATGCATTACAGATTCAAACAGCCTAATGGCAGCAGAGATGTGTGTTCTCATCTTAAGGTTGATTTGTAACGTCAGACCTAGCTGGAACACCTGCTTTTCCATGCCCTCATCAGCTCCTGTAAGAGTAAGGAGACACTCACTTTGAGTGAATTCTGCTCTTTTCTCCTTCAGTTCACTGGGGGTCGTTTGGTTCGCGAACAAAGTTATCACAGGATTATAGTTTTGGATTATAATCCTGGGACTAATTTATCCTGGGGATGCTGACAATTGTGCTGAAATTGTGCTGAAAATGAAGTAATTTATAGCTGCTGAAGGAACAGCCAAAATGCACTTATTTTGCAGGCAATTATGTGCTGGAATGCAGCCAAAAGCACCTGCACAGCTTTAGACTAATTTCTTATGGAGGATTCGACACAGAACCAGAAGAGAAGTTTGAGCAACATAACTTAAAACTAATTTCTTTATATATCTTTTCAGAGTCTTGGGGGTTAGTCTTGTGGGGAGAAAATGGAATTGTTGTATAATGAAATAGAAAAATAAATTTAATGCGTAGTACTAGTGTTTGGTTTACCTAGAACATTTCATCTTGTGTCCTAAGAAAGATACATAACAGATTGAAGCAGCTAAATGGAGGAAGAAGAGATCGATGTCTGTTTTTATTCGATGTGGCAATTTATAACGTCAGTCCTAGCTGGAACACCTGCTTTCCCATGCCCTCATCAGCTGCTACAAGGCACCTCACTTGCCACTCTTCTTTGTGTGAATCCTTCTTTGAAGAAGTTGACGGATATATTTCCTCAAGGTCAGTTCACTTTGTAGTAACCAAGTTACACTCAAATGGTGTTCTGGAACTTAGAGCTTAGATTGCTAGCTGTCGTCTCATTAGAATGATTGCCATCCCAAGTTGTCTGATTCTGCCAGTTTCTGTTGCAGTTTATATAGTGTAACTTAGTCCTGAACTTTGTTTGTTAAGTTAATTACTTGATTATGGATCATTCAATGAAATTCTTGATCAATTAGTAGCCATATTTCCAGAACAACTAAAAATAATTGAAAACTAGATATGTTTTGTTAACTTTTCGGTGTTATCTTTATATTATGTTATTCATGCTGATCTTCAGTCTTCACAATGGTTGATTGATGAGTTGTTTTTTTTAACATTTGAAATTGAGTTAATTAGATTAAATACCCATTTTCTAACATAAACAATCAACAAATAACGTACGATCGATGTCATCATGTGGACCAATAATATGGTTTTTCTTTTTCAAGAGTAAGGGAATTAAACCGATTGAAAGAGTCTTAGTATTTCAAATTTGATTTTTGAGCAAAGCAAATGTTGAAATTCCCGAGGATATGCCAGAATTAGTGATCAAGAAATTAAAGGACAAACATTGACCAAAAGAAGTGATAAAGAGATTCAAACATATTTTTCAAAACGTTCAATTTATTATATTCAAAGAATTATATAATAAAAACAAATTAAGAGAAAGTATATAAATATAATACTACTATCGAGTAATCCCCACACATATCTAGCTTCTTGAGATGCATAGAAAGAAACAATGGGATCTTCTGTCTTCCTGCACATATAGCTTTTGTCTTGTTTCCTTATATTTGGACATGACCAGTTTGAAAGATCTTTCCAAAATCAATTGTTTAAGGTTTAGCAATCCCATGTTTTAGTTTGTTGGAAACTATAGATGAACATTTGTTGTACGTTCATTTGGTTGCTGGTAATTAAAGTTATACATTTATAAGTAATAATATAGAGTTTCATACATAAATAGCTATCGATCAAACGACTTGTTATTGTTTATTTTGTATCCCAAGTAATTAAAATCATAACAACTAAGAGAAACAACTGCGCTAAGTAATAAAACTTGGCCCTCCTAATTAATTTATTAGCTTAGACCGGCTAGGTAGCTTTAAATTTTAATTTCATTTCCTCTTTTTGTTCACTCCACACAACGAGAAACCATACCATGTATAGGTTAATAATTAATTAAAAAAGATAAATCACATAGCTAATTTTTCTTTTTTTCTAGATGTAAGTAGAGAAAAAGCAAAGTTGGACTCGTCAAAGGCTAATCATTGGGAATGATTCTTAACTAACGCCCACATTGCTTTTAGGCACATTATCAAAGAAAGAGGGGACCTTTGAAGCTCGACCTGCCTTCACCATACTACCAACTTATACTATTATGTTGCTAACTTTTGATCTCTTTGTTTGGGATAACTTATTTATATCATAGTGATGGAATAAGTTATTCCTGAATAATTAATCACGGGATAACTTATTTCCAACCAAACGAAACCAACAAAATAAGAAATTAAAAGGTGTGATTTGGATGTGGATGAGAGTAGATTTCTTGTTAAATGGTTTTCCTTGCAATCTACTGATCCTTTTAATAAAGCACATAAAAAAAAGCAGATCATTCCCATCACCAAGATTCACTTTGATGTTTATTCCCCTTAGCTACTTTTGTCTACATATATATATGTTACCTCTCTTGCAAATTGTTTTATCCATTATTCTTCTTCCTTTGTGCCATTTTCCAGCACATACACACTACTTCCTCACTCTATCATTCCACCTTGTTTGTTGCTTAGTTAGTCACTCCATCGATCATGAACATGGAGGTTTGTACACTCACTTATCATCTTTCTAATTTCCAGTTGTTCCTCTACAATATATATATATATATATATATATATATATATATATATCAAAGGTCGATTCGATCCAATATTTAGTACCTAACACATTAGACACTTGAAATTACTAATATTTTTGAGTTTGTTTTGTGGCATGCAGACAGTTGAATTGAAGGTAGAGATGGTTGGAATACATGAGAAAAGAGTGAGGAAATGTCTCTCTAAATTAAAAGGTAATCATTAATTATATATTATATATGTTATAATTAAATTTGAGATATTGATATGTGTTTAATTATGATGCAATATTGCGCAGGAATAGATAAAGTAGAAGTGGAAGGGAAGAGTGAGAAAGTGGTTGTGATGGGGTATGCACACAAAAACAGAATACTAAAAGCAATAAGGAGAAGTGGTCTTAAAGCTGATTTTTGGTCACCTCAAAATGAACTTCTTCAAGCTTACGCTGCTTCTTACTCTTCTAATTTCACTTTTAACAAATTCTCCTTCTTTAATTAATTGAATGAATACCAAATTTGTTCTCTTAATTAATTTCCTCAACATAGTGTATACAATGGAAGAGTTTTCGATTCAGTTTGATGCATGTACTCTTTGTTACATAATCTTGTAGGTGGATGATCAGTTCTTGAGTAATTTGTGAAAGATTTTAAGTAATGCATGCATTTGGATTTGCACAATACATAAAAGCACATAATAAGGTCTTTACATTGAAATTTTGTTGAACTCTACAAGACGCGTTAAAATATGTATTCAATTTCAATTAGAATTCTTCATGCCTATATAAAGGGTACTATATTCCCTTGGAAAGACATCTCGATATATTCCATAAAATTCATGGAATATTCATATAGAGGTCAAATCTAAATCATCCTAGTTCGAGAAAAACGCTACTAACGACCCTCGAATCATGGATAAATCTTAGGAGAGTAGAATCAAGTGAGGAACAGAATTGTACCTGCAATCTTTATCAACGAAGTTGTGTTTCTTCTTATGTTATTGTGATTGCAATTTATTTTCTTTCACTTTAAAATTTGTTACAAACACGCTTGTGAAAAGATCAAACTCAAAATCTTTAATTAACGATTCTAACTTTATTTAAAATTAAAAGTATTTGAAGACGAAACAATGATGAGTAGATTTCATTGTTGGACGTGACACATTTTATAGTCAAAATTTCTGTATAATGAGATATTGTAGGACAAAATAATATTATAAAAAAATATATAATAACGTGAATAAGGTATAACATAACATAAAAAAACTTGATTTTAATATTTTGTTCAATACTGAGAGCAACGAGTAATGGGATAGTGTCTCCCATGATCGATAAATAAATGATTAATTATTAATTAGCACGCAAGAAACATGGTTTTTATATCTTCAGAAAAACTTATAAAGAATTTACTATTAATTTTACATTATCACTTTTAAATTGTAAATACTACTCTAACAAGTTGTTTTTAATGTTGTTGATTCATCAGTTATGTGATAAGGTTATTTTTAATTCATTATAAAATGATAACACAAATTTATGAGTAATTTTAATTATTATTATTTTTTTAGAATTTATGGGTATAAATTATATGTTTTTTTTATATAAAAAAATCAAATATTTCTTCCAAAATCTAGGCATTATAAAAGTTCACCCAAAAATAACTTACCAAAAAGTACTACCTCCGTTCACTTTTAATTGTTATAGTTTCCTTTTTGGTAAAATGCATAAGTAACCTCAACCTATGCCTGAAATTCCAGAGACACACTTATAATATACTAAGTTTCTATTATCCTTGAACTTATTTTATAAATAATTTTTTATTCCTTTTTAACCTACGTGACATGATAATTAAAAGTGGATAGCGAAAGTAGTTAAGAATTTATAGTGTAAATAAGTTTGAAAAAATTGACAATGTAAATTATTTGGAATACAATAGAGCAATAAAATGGGGGTGAGCAGGTGAATTAGTACTAGTGTGTTGTGGTTCCAGAAGAGGAAAATTTTTGGGGAAACGTAGCATTAGGTTGGGGGAAGAAAAATGCATCTGAGCGAAAACGAAGGGATAGAGAAGTACAGTTTCGTGGTTACAGGTGGACTCGGGTTTATAGGCGCCGCACTTTGTCTTGAACTCGTCAGAAGGGGTGCTCGTCTTGTTAAAGCATTTGATCTTAGAACCCATTCTCCTTGGTCATCTCAACTCACTCAATATGGGGTTCACCTCATCCAAGGTATCCCCCCTTTTCGACATTTAGTCAACTTTTGTCATTCAATTTGGAAATTCACATTTCTCCTTTTTTCTTTACATTTTGTATTGGGTTGACTGATGATTCCCCCTTTCTGTTTGCTTCTCTATTTATCCTGTAATTCAACATTGGTTTCATTTGGCGGACTAAAATCCCAATTCCGATCTATATAAGTAACAAAAGGATCATGAGTTAGTGCTTTATTTGGTATAGTTGATTCGTTGATTGATTGATTATTAAGGAATTTGTCTGTGTTTAGAAATTGATAACTAGTTTATAGTCCTCTTGTTATGATTGCGGGAACTGATGATACAGTATTTACACCGAGTCCTTTCTGCAGCTACTCAATTTGCTTGGTTTTCAAATTTCAGGGGATATAACAAACAAACAACAAGTTCAGAAAGCACTACAAGGGTCAGATTGTGTTTTCCATCTTGCTTCTTATGGCATGTCAGGGAAAGAAATGCTTCAATATAGTCGTGTTGATGAGGTCAATATTAATGGAACCTGCCACATTATTGATGCTTGCCTTGACCATCAGATTAAGAGGCTTGTTTATGTCAGCACACCTAATGTTGTTTATGGTGGTAAGGAAATTGTTAATGGCAATGAGAACCTACCTTATTTTCCAATAGATGACCATGTTGATCCATATGGACGAAGCAAATCAATTGCTGAACAATTGGTCCTAAAGAGTAACGGTCGTCCCTTCACGTAAGTTATCTTTACAGGAACATTTCATTCACAATCCACCGTAATATATCCTGCAAATGTATGCTATAGAGAGCTTTACTCCCTCTTTATACAATGTAATAGAAACTAGACATATAAGTCATCCCCTTTCCCTTAGATGCATTATGAGTTTTGACACTTTTTTCTAATTCCCTCAGGATTGACAGCAGTGACCTATCATGTTGTACCATATGCTACATGCTATAGAAAATAGCTAGATGTCTAGACTGAATAGTTGCATTTGCAAGATTGTTTTTAACTGGAAGATAAGTTTCCTTTTGATAGAAAAAAACAAAATGAGCAAAATCTCATCGGCTTTCCTTTGCCAGTGCAAACATTTTTTAATCAGTTTCTGCCTGTGCAAACATGTATGACAAAAAGCTGCCAAAACCCTTTGTAGTGATGCTAGTAACCCCTCAATAGCTGTTTGACCTTTTCAGCTCTGTGTGTGTATATGTATATTTATGATTGTTCACAGCAAGAACTGCTACTTGATGTTGTATTGACATAATTTATATGGTTGTTTTCTCTCTTCTCGGCATGTATGTTCATTGCACAGTAAGAAGAATGGCAAATGCCTTTACACCTGTGCAATTCGTCCAGCTGCTATATATGGTCCAGGTGAAGAAAGGCACCTGCCGAGGATCATAACTCTTACAAAGCTAGGTCTGTTTCCCTTTAAAATCGGTTCACCAAATGTAAAATCAGATTGGGTGTACATCGACAATCTTGTATTGGCACTTTTATTGGCTAGCATGGGACTTTTGGATGACATCCCTGGCAGAGAAGGGCTTCCAATTGCTGCTGGTCAACCTTATTTTATATCAGATGGTAAATACTCGTTGGCTTATATTTGTTGTGTAGGAATGTGGAATCTTGTTTTGGACCAAGTGGAGGTGTAATTATTAATTTCTAATTAAGATTATTTTTTTAGGATTCTCCAAAGACTTAAGAATCTAATTGCTTATCAGAGTAAAAAATGTTTCTATAAGCAGAGCAGTTTTTACTTGTTACTTACTGCATGTCTGCATCACCTTCCTTCATCAATGATCTTCTGTTGCAGGTTCTCCCATCAACAGTTTCGAGTTCCTTCGCCCTTTACTGAAAAGCCTGGATTATGATCTACCAAAGACATCACTAGCTGTCTCTCATGCTCTTCTTCTGGGAAAAATTTTCTGGGCTTTCTACTCCTTTCTGTATCCTTGGTTGAATAGTAGGTGGCTTCCTCAACCTCTGATCCTTCCTGCTGAAGTCTACAAGGTTAGTGCTTCATATTTGAATCTATTTTTGCTTCTTTTATTCAAATGAGTAGGCTTCACTGGCATTATCAAAAAACAGTTTTATATACTACATATCTTTCCACCGGCTTTTACTCAGTTTATGGCATTTCATACTACTGTGGAATTGATAATATATCTATAACTCGTGCATATCTACTTGGGCAAATGTACCAGATTCTTTTTTCTTTTTGTTACGAAGATGGTCTATATTGGTTAGAAACTGTCAAATGGTTAAATACCTTAATTGTTTGACCTTGCATCAAGACTTGTTCCCTTAAGTCGTTACTTCTCCCTGTTCACACCTGTATTGACACCAGACGTTCAATTTTGTCCAGCAATAGTGAACTCTCTCTGGTCATGGACACAACATTTTTCTCTACAATTGTATAAGAGGTAGAATTCTAGTTGATATTTGGTTTTCTGCTTGTGCTAGGTTGGTGTCACTCATTACTTTTCTTTCCTAAAAGCAAAAGAGGAACTTGGGTACGCTCCAATGGTGAGTTCTAAGGAGGGCATGGCTGCAACTATTGCATATTGGCAAGAAAGAAAACGGAGGAGTTTGGACGGACCTACAATATGGGCATGGCTGTTTTGTGTGATTGGAATGTCGGCATTGTTTGCTGCTGCGTATCTGCCTGATTATGGACCCATTCCCTTTATTAGAGCAGTTCACCTCTTCTTCTTTCGATCTATGTTGGCATTGAAAGTGATTTTTGTTCTAGCAGCTGCTGCACACGTAGGTGAAGCTATATATGCATGGAATGTTGCAAAAACAATAGATCCTGCAAATGCAAGAGGGTGGTTTTGGCAGACATTTGCTTTGGGGATATTTTCCCTACGATTACTTCTGAAGAGAGCTAAAAAGTAGGATTACCGTATTTCTTGCTCGACTCTTAACTATGAAGCATGTAATTGCAATCACATCAAAGTTGAGACATAATGACAACTTTTCAGTAGTCAAGTTTTTTCTCCTTGTTTTTGGTCTCAGCAAACTATCTTTGTTTTTTTGGTATAATAAACAAGTTTAACTTCTCATCCTGATCTTGTACTCGTTGATTCCTTGCATCTCTTGGACAGGATTGTCCGCATCAAACAAGATGTTTTATGGTAAACCACTGCATTACTTGACCAACCTAACCTAGCTCTATGTAGTGCAGTGGTTAACCACTTAATTGATGCGATGCAGTCAATCCTGTCCAGAGGTGCATTACGAGGTGCGTCTCTGACCAGCGGGACACGAACTTCCTC